GATTTAATTTAAAGAATTTCATTTACAGTTGACCAACCACAAAGTGCGGCGATGGTACGAAGATACGGAGATCGTGCCGCGAATGAATGACAAACTACGGCACGTATCTTTCGGATAGTTGAGCGCGACTATCGACTGGCGAATAACGAATACCGAATAACGAATAATGATTCCCGATCGACGATCACCGATCGACTGAAAAGCCCGCGGGCACTTCACTTTGCCCCGCGATCAATTGCGCTGCACTTTGAGATACAGATACTTTTGCCGCTGGCAATGCCGCTCTTGCCGGCTCTCTCTCTCCGTCTCCCTCTATCTCTTTCGCCCTCTCTCTCTCTAAACAGCTGTTGCGGACACTTGTGGCTCGCTCACATGAAAGCCAATTAGCCACGCTCGTTGCCTTTGGCTGTTTGTTTATTTATGTTTGCTGGGGAGTCATCATCAGTTGACAGTTTTTGGTACATATGAGTATGAGTAGCGCTCTCCCGCTCTGGCGCTTCCCTCTCTCTCTCCGGCCATGTTGCCCTCTCTTTCGGATCAGTGCCGGGTTGACTCAGCGGTTTTCCTACTCGTGTCGTGGAGCGGATACGCGATTCCTTTAGGTTAATTAATTTTACTATAGTGAAGTCAATTATGTCTGGGTTTAATCATCAATTAGAAAATATTGGCTGAAGTCAGACTTTTGTTATACAGTAGTATATTAGTATTATTTTTTAATTTTATTTGAGAACTTTATTGTTGTATCGCGATGCAACCTCTAAATTGATAAGATCATTAAAATATCTATTAATATACAAATCAAAAAATAGTTTTCGGATTTTTTTATAAGTGGGCTTTTAATATTTTTATGTACCTATATCTACAAATCAATTTGCCTGGAAAGGAAATTAAACAAGATAGAACGCTATAGTCGGGTGCCCCGACTATCAGATACCCGTTACTCAGCTAAAGGGAGTGCGAAAGAGATGGAGAAAAACTTTGATCCGCCGTAACTTTTTAACGAATGGTCCGATTTAAAAAATTTCTTCTACATTTCGATAGGTATTGATAAACACAATAAAACTGCATTTTTACTTTTCCAAAATATTGAAATTTTTAAAATCGTATATAAGCGATTGTGGGCGTTAGAGGGGGCGTGGCGCCCTTTTGAAACAAACTTGCGCTGCGTAGGAACTCCTAGAATCTGCATGCAAAATGTCAATCTTCTAGCTTTTATAGTTTCCGAGATCTCAGCGTTCATACAGACAGACAGACAGACAGACAGACAGACAGACAGACAGACAGACAGACGGACAGACAGACGGACAGACGGACATGGCTAGATCGACTCGGCTAGTGATCCCGATCAAGAATATATATAGTTTATAGGGTCGGAAACGCTTCCTTCTACCTGTTACATACTTTTGCACGAATCTAATATACCCTTTTACTCTACGAGTAACGGGTATAAAAATGGTTTTTATTACAATTTTAAAACGAATTTATTAACAGATAAAAAGTCTTTACCCAGTGAAAACTTTTTAAAATACTGGTTTAAAAAAAAAGTCGCGAAATGAAACGCGGCATTTGATTAGTAATTCTCTTAAGCTCATTTAGCGCTCAATTTAGTAGCCAAGTGAACAATACATTATGTATTCATAAATAAGTTTAACGATTTACAGCTGCTTTAGCCGGCTTGACATTACATAAATCATTGCACATTTAGCTTAAACCTCTTTCACACGTCTCTTCAAACGAGTCGGCACCACCCGCTTTCCCCCCGCCCCGCCCCCTTTCACACCTCGTGTGCAAACCCATCCCGAGATTTGCCAGCAACAACAGCCGCCTCTTCTAACACATTTAATGCCAAGTCAAAGTTGTGTGCTCACTTGACAAGATCGCGACGACCTAAAAGGTTTCGAGACGCGAGCAATTAACATCAGAGCTACAAAAAATTCAGTCCGTATATCTGAGTATCTTGCAGATGTATCTGTATCTATGTATCTGGCTAAACGAGCGATCACGTCAAGCGGGGAGCTCGAAAATCAATTGAAGAGCGGTTGGGGGCTAGAAAACTCAGTGAACATAGAAAAGCGCTTTGTTTTCGCAGCCAGGCCCGCAGAACGGTTAATAATTGAATCGAAAAGTGTGCTAATGCGACCGGCAGTTGAGTTTCTCAGTATCTGGCAGATATCGGGTCAAACACATCTGTGTGCTGAAACTGCAAACATGAAAATGCATTCTCAGATCTGAAGATACCGCCACAGAAACATTCATTTAAGCGCTGAAGAATCTTACGAATGCCAAAGTGACAGAAAAAATTAATTACCTGGTACATTTTTTTTAAGCCAGCATAATTTTATTATTTTTTTTAATATGTGGCCTAGATTTTTATAAAGCCGGCTGTGGAAAAAAATGCTCACACGTTTCGTACAATTATATCGATCGATTTTACATAACTGGTTTTTGGTATAAACAAAAATTGTATTTTACCTTTTCTACAAGTTAATTGTAGTTATTATAGCTATTTCCTATTTTGACTGCAGTCAATTTATTTACATGTAAATATTAAATTTTAATCTTTCTAAAAACTTTGTGACCTATTTGATAAGTAACCCCACTTTCCTATTCCTTTCTTGTCCATACATTCAAGCGATGAAATGAAAATTGATTCGTCGTTGTCGACGTCTGACAATTCGCAAATTATTTAGCCCATTAATTCAAAAGCCAAAAGGCATAGCAATAAAATTTTGTTCATAAATAAAATCGTGCCTACGAGTTTCTACTTGCATTTGCTCGCATCTCATTAATTTGCGATGATTTTGCATGTGGCTAGTTGGGCCAAAATGTGCAAAAGAGGTGGGGACAATCGATGGCCAGGGAAGATGCCGGCAAAACCAGCAACAAAATAAGGCATCCTAAACAACTCGGCAACTAAGCCAAGCCAAAAGGGCAGGCTAAAAAGGCGGACAGCTACACAGACGACGACAAACGGCAGCTAAAAGTATTTAGAATTTCTGGCATTTTGTCAAGTGTTGCCAAAACATTTCGCACAACACGCACGGTTTTTGGAGAGAGTGAGGAATACACAGGGTGAGAGAGATGGAAAGAACGAGGATAGAGAGAGAAGCAATATTTGCGTGTACTAAGGCGAATCTTGGACTTGTTGCGAAATTTGTGTGGCATTTGAAAATGTTTGGCATTTGTTTAAGACTAATACACTATCCGAAAACGGGCAAGGTCCCTTTGGCATGAAAACATTTATTTTCTAATTACATTAATGCACAAATTTGTTTATTTAATTGAGTTTCAAATAGATATATTTATTTATTTGATTGTGTGTTACTTGTACTTTTATCTTTAAAAAGGAGAATTTTTAAAATTCTGTGTATAAAAATGTTATACACAAGGAAAAATCTGTCAAATAAATAAAACTCATTTTCTGTTTAACCTGTTTTCACAGGAATGATTTAGTTTTTAAGTTTTCAGTATTATATTTTTGGAAGTGTATGCAACCGTCTTTATAATAAATTTGTCATTCATTGGACAATTTTAGGTTGCAATCGCACACTTGATCATTTATCTCAATTTTAGAGACGCTATTAGTTAATATTTCGTTTATTAAACGGTTGAACCAAGAGCTAAGCCAGCACCAAGAGAAACTGAGAGAGAGATTCTCGCTCAGATGGGTGCCAATTTTTCGTTAATTTACCATAAAATTTCCGTGTTACGTATTTTTAATTTTGTGATTTATTTTTGTCACGCGTACACACTTGACGCAATCGGACGCAATCGAGGAGAAACAAAAGCAGCGGCTAGAATACGCTCTAATGGCTTTTGGATCGGTCGGATATATGGTAAAAATTTGTGGGGATGGGGCTAAAAGTGGCCTCTGCGAGGTTTGTGGCCCTTGAGCCAATCGAAAGCGAAGGAAAGCAATTATGTAAGAAGGGGAAAAAAGGGAAAACACAAAGGGAAACAATCGATGGACATCGAGGTGAATGCGAGCGATGCCCTAAACATTTCCGCTGCATTCGAGCAATGCTACAAACAACAAGAAATTCCAAAGTCACAAGCACGCACTGCCACAGTCACACACACACACTCATTCTAAAACGGAAGCGGAAACGCAGCGCATAAGCGAAGAGGCAGAAGGAGACACAAGAAGGACATGCGAGGAAATGGCCGTCCAATTTGTGCGATAGGCCAAAGACGACATAACAGATTTCCGATTTGAATTGCGGGGTAAAAAAGGTAGAAAGATTAAAATAAATTTAGCAGAAGGTTTTTACATTTTTTACACATATTAAACAAATATTTTGAAAAATCTCTTACATTTTAAAGTAGATTTGCACAATAGTTATAATTAAACGCTTTAAATAAATTTAAATTGTATAACTAAGTTTAATAAATTCTACGAGATATAAAAGCATAATTTTTTTAATGCTATATAATATAAATTTGCAGAGTAATATTATTTTCAGAGAAAGTTTAAAAGAATTTTTAAAACGGTCGTGAAAGTCTTTTTCTGAAAAGCCCACGAAATAAGCTATAACCCTGTAAACTTAAGCTGCTTTTTTCCTAAAAGTAATATTTCATCACTCCTGGGTTGGGGGCATCCACTTTTTGTTAGAACTTTTTCAACGAATGACTTCCATGCTTTTTCTCTCTTCTTTTCAGCACATATCCTAATCGATTTATTGGTCTCACACAATCCAACTAATACACGATTGTAGCCAGTTAGCCTTCTCCCTGCCCCTATTTTTTACCACCCTTCCTGTCAGTTTCAGCATTATTCATTTTCATTGCCGTATTCTCTGTTCGAATTCTTTTCCATGTGTTGTTTTGTGTAATCAAATACAGACACTACATCCCCTTATCCTTGCTTGTGATTAAGCCCAAAAGGCTCTTACACACTGGCAAAAAAAGCAGGAACTAGCAATCAACCGAATGGAGAAAGAGACAGGGGAGTGGGACAGAGACGAAATATACCCCGAAGCGATGTCTAAAGAGAAACTTACCATTTCTGTTCTCACTATCCGCCGGCTTCATCTGAATGGGATGGTGCATCTGTCAAAGAGAGAGAGAGAAAAAATTGAAAATCGTAAAAAAATGGGTAATATTTTTGGGAAATGTGAACTTTTTCTGTTCACAGTAACTCGGAAGTTTTGATTTAAATTTGCTAATATGTAAAAGAATAATAAGGAAACTCTGTTTAAAAACCATATATATTTTAGTGTGTATTTCCAATCTTCTATCATCAGCTGAAATATTTGTTTGCATTTCGCTTAAAATCATTTTGTAGAGAGGTTTCAACTTTCGCATTATTCACTCTGCCATTTACCCAATGAACTAAACCGAAATCTGATCCGAACTCCTGTTAGATCAACAATGATTTCATTAGTTTATTGAAGTGTTGTTCGATCTCATTAGATTTGATTTTGGCCCCATGCAAATGAAAAGCGCTAATGAAATAGCTCCGGAAGCCAGATAAAAAGGAGTGGGCGAAACGAAAAGGAACCAGAGAGCCCATTTCATTAACGTGGCCATTAGCACTTGAAAAATGCAATTCAATGCGAGAGATGCTTTTAACAAATTTCCCATTTATTTTACATTCGTCGTGCGAACCGATAAGGTCCCGGGTCCTTGAAAGTGGGTCCTGTCAGGCAGTGGCCATTACTTTGATTTCAATTAACTTTTCATTCAAACGGTTCGAGCAGCGGAAATGATAATAATAATACTTACAACGATATTAGAAAATGGAGCTTCAATTGCAGGAAACTTTTCCCATTGGCAGAAAGATAGAGGAGAGGAGGGGGAGGGGGAAACTCCGGACAAAGTGACTGAATGACTGAATGATGTTCAGCAAATTGAAATGAAATGCTTACGGGTTGAGGCCTCCCGCATCTCTTTTCAAACCAAATAAAACCGAACGAAACGGAAGGGGGGAAGCCAGAAGGTTTCTGCACAAATTACGAGAAAATGTCACCGCCTCTGGTACTTGGTCCTCGCTTCTCGGCTCTCGGTCCTTGTCCAGCCACCGAACCCTTTCCACACTTATTGTTGCGCCATTCTGCTGCTCTATTATTCAAAATTGACAGTTGAATGAGTAAAATGGCCGTCTGCCTCAATCTCAATTGCTATTTTCTGGCATTTCATTTAACTGTCCATCTCGCTAGTGTGGATGTACATATGTACATGCATCTGTTTGTGCTGGCCAAATCCTGCCTGAAAAAAACCCTTTTCAATTTAATAGCATAGAGGCTATAATGCGATTTGCAGGAAGTTACATTTAAGTCCTTCTCTGATTGTCAATTAGCTGTCAAAATATTGTGGTTAGTTTTTGGCTTTTGTGAAAAAAGTTAAAAATGCAGACAATTTAAGTTTGTCTAAATTGATCCGATTGCACAGTCATAAAACCGCTATCAATTAAAATTAATTAAATTATGATGCATGTATTTTAGAATTAAAAATTGTTTCTTACAAATTAAATAGTTTTCAATATAATAGGCTCATTTAACTTGCAAGAATCCCAATTTTCTCCATTACAAATTTACCAAAATTGGGAAATGAAATATTCTTAGCATACTTTCGGGCATCCAATTTAAACGCAGTAAAAAGCTTTCTCCCTCTTTTCTCTTTTCTTGGCCTGACTTGCAAGTGTATCCTTTCACACGTGCCAGTTAAAAAAGGAAGAACGAGAAAAGGACAACGCTTGGCCAGGACACTTAACACTCTCACATATATATTCAGGAAAATGGAGAAAGGCCAGAGAAAAGTGGGCAGTTCAAAACAAAATATTTATTGTGGCCGTTGACAAGCTGGGCTTTTCCCAGTGTGTGTGTGTGTGTGCGAGTGAGGAAATGTGGACATTTTAACGTCTGTTTACCTATCGATTATTTCAGGTAAATTAAGTAGCTTCGGAGCTGACGAGGACCTCCACATCCACATCCACGTCCATGTCGACATCGATGTCCTTTCCGTTGAGGGCAGCCTGCCAAATGCATTAAAGGATCAGACATGCTCACACACACTCACACCCAGGCGGACACATAGCCACACATGTACACATAGCTGGGCAGCCAGGCACTTACTTATACAAACAAAGATCCACCTTGCCCACACACACACACAACCATGTGGTCATTATTTTGACAATTACACACGTGGCGCCATTTGGCCAGGGTCCTTTTCGCCCCACCCCCCTCCTAAATTCACTGCTTCGATGTGTGAGTGAAGGTCTTTGTTTTAGTGCCAGCCGAACGTTCCTATATGGATTTTCCATTAACGATTTGAATATGTAAATGATGGAGCGAGTGCCAACTGTGGTTTCAGATTACATGAAAATTGTCTAACGTTTTTACGAGTCGTATTAATTTTATTAAATCAATTTTTGATATTAAATTCAAAAGGTTCGAAATCAGTTAATGAAATGTAGGGGAGAGTGGGGGAATTTCGTCACAGGGGCAATTTCGTCACCTGCAATATCTCGGAATCTATAAGTCGTAAAAATATATAATTTTTTTGTTTTAGTCCTTCAAGACGGCCAGACACAACCAATGCATTTGTTTTGCACAGAAGGCCAAGATAATTAAGCTATAATATTAAATGTGTTTTAACAGTTCAAAAGCTACATTTAGTTCTCGACGAAATTTTTTCTGTATGCCACAATTCAAAAGGAATAAGATACACGATTTTTTATATAATACACAGTGCTATAATGTGCATTTCTGCGTCAGTGATTTTTAACTTCGCGCCTAATTTCGCAAGAAAAATAATTATTTCTAAAAAAGTACGGTCTGGGGAAATTTCGCCACCCTACGCTAAGGGTAAATTCGCACCTATTTTAAATACATATTTTTATATTTGACGAGCTGGCTAACGAACAGACTACCAGCAGCAGCAACACATATAGGACGTCAACAAAAATGGTACGCTTGATCAGTGTAGCATATTTTTAGGCGTTAAACTCCCTACATTTTTCAGGTGACGAAATTTCCCCAGTTGTGTGGTGATTTTACCCCCCTGTGTGGTGAGATTGCCCCAGTATATTGGTTTTACATTTAATTTTTTTATAAATCACCAAGCTAATTAAAAAAATAGGGGAATGTCACATTTTAAAGCTTGGTGCTAACCGCTTTCAACAATAAAAATAGAAATATGATAACGAGTCTCAAGATGGACAAAAAATAGCTTTGAAAAAATAATGACGAAATTCCCCCACTCTCCCCTATTATTTGCAAAATAAGTAAGGCAAAAGCTCACTGGTGTATATAATTTAATAGGTATTGGATGTACTTTAAAATAAATATTTAATAATAAAACTGAAAATGTTTAATATCATCCACTTCCAGTTTCTACTATGTAACAAATCGCTGATGATAGATAGACTCTCACCAAATAGTTAATTCTAGTTATTGAACCACTGTGCAGGGTCACATCCATTCGGTGGAGCTACCCCAATCCCACTTGCCCCCGGTGATCCAATCCGCCCTGCAATCTTAGTGTGTTTGCTTGTGCGTGGAACGCTTCATTTAATACGTTAACAATGAGATTGTCCTCAATAATTGAATCCACTAATTGACTGATGATTACATTTTGTGTTGGCCATACACCAATAGTCCGCCAATGTTTCCCGGACCCTGAACCCCGAAACCCCTCCAATACCCCCGATCCCCCACCAAAAACCATGCGCTGAAAGTATGTCATCGATCGATCGGGTAGCAAGCGGTTGACTTTCTCAAGCTGTATTATTCAAAAGGGCGCACAAACAGTAAACTGTACTGGGTATACATATGTGTATGTGAACTACGAAGAAGAGGCACACACACACGCGCACACATACATACGCAAGTACGAAAAGAAATGCACACATACATGGACACAGAGAACAGGAAAACGGGCATAACTCAAAGCTACATAGATGGCATAGGGGGTGTATTTATTGGACTGTGTGTGTGAGTGGGTGGTGGGTGTAGGGTGTTGGGTGTTGGGAGGTACTTACCCCATCCAAGGTCTTGATGTTGTGCAACGCATCCTGGGCGCGCAGGGCCGCTTTTCTTGTATAGTAGGTGACAAAACAGCACCCTGCAAACGAAAATGAAACAATCGAATACAAATCGAATACAAATCAAACGAATCGATAGACAGTAGCACAGAACATATGATACAGAACGAACATTATATATTTATATATACTTGACTATATATATATAAATTTATCGGATGCATTAGGTATTATTTACTGGGGACCATTACAAAGTTAAGCTCTTACTTAAATAACTATTAGTTTGTAGCATTTGTTCATCATGCATCTGGGACAGATTGATCGAGTCTTAAGTCTAGATAGATATAGATCTATATTGGCATGCAGAATTTTGGACACTGGACGAGAGTTTCATGCAAGCCATGCGGAGCAAATGGGACATGGACAAAATATAATGGAGACTACGGACTGCGTGAGGTTGAGACTAAATACTATAGATATATTTCTATCTATACTTTTCCCAAAAATATTAATTTTTTTCCTTGCAAATTCGATTAATTTTCATTTAACTTTAAGTTTAGCATTATAGTTGAAAAAATTCCTTTTGAGATATAATTAAAATAACTTTGATTTCTTTTTTCTATATAGACATATTGATAGTCCCCTATAATTCAATAAACTGTCTTATTTGTATCACCTTCCCTCTTAATATTTGTTTGCCCGCCAATACTTTTATACTTTTATCGGATTACTTACGAAACAACTTCCGGAAAGTTAGTACACAACCAACCTCTTCTGACCCATCTAAACTATCCACTGCTCCATTACGAAGATTAAATTATAATCCTCCTCCGACTGGCAGCCACATAAGCCGCACGCCTCCCTTGGTGGATATCATCGAGTTAGCCGTGCTCGAACACCTTGCTCCGAGGATTAATCCACCCATATGCACACTTTCGACCAGGATCAACCCCTCTAGACCATAAATATGCATAATGGAATTTACCTTTTCGCTTTCGAGGAAAGTTTGCAAGCAAATGCGCATATTATTCTAATACAGCCAAAAATTAACCAGAGCAACATGCTCATGTCCTGCATCCTGCCAGTCTCCCAGGCTGCCACTCTGCGAGTGTGTGGAAGTTTTTCCCGTTTATACACGCACAATTGTGGCCAATTACCCTGGCTAAAACTTTGGCCAACACCGCATTCCTGCCCTCAACACCTGTGCTGGGAGCAGGTTTTAATGTTGATGGGTTCGCCATCAGCATAATCATATTACTTGATGTTTATTCGCACAGCCCGGGGACCCGGAATTGATGGACATTGTAAAATTTCATGGAACCGTCGAACCCTCCCCGAATAATCCGCCCATTTGTATGCCCCAGAGCCAAGGTTTCCATCTTGTGAGACGTCGACTGAGACTCACCTCTGCTAATCGATGTGACCTTGTCCCGCAGCACATTCAATGTGTGCACGGGTCCGAACTGCTCGAACATTTGCCGCAGCCTCGTCTCGTCCCAGGTCTTTGGTATTTGGCCCACGAACATCTTGATATTGTCTGCATCCGGCTGATCCTTGATCAATTCGGGACTGTTCGCCTCCACAAGTTCCATTTTTAAGGAGCCTTCAGCCGTGGGACTTTGATTGCTGCAATGAAGAGAACATTTTCAAAGTTAGAATGGAACAAAACAGAAAATTGATTAAAAGTAGGTCGTTAATTCATGCATTTTATAAACCTAATTAATTTAGAAGATCTATAAAAAATACAAGTAATTCATAGTTTCTTAAAGGTAACCTTTTATTTAAAAAATATTTCTATTACAAACAAGAAAGGAAGCTAGCTTCGGCCAGCCGAAGCTTAAATACCCTTGCAGATCATTCCTATTAATTAACAAATCGCAAAAATGTTCAATTAATTTCATTAATCTCATTAATTTTCCGATCGTTCCTATGGCAGCTATACGATATAGTCGTCCGATTTTAATCAAATTAAAATTGAAATTCGGAAATATTTAAAAAGAGTCATGTCCTAGAGTAGAAGATAATACAATAAAAACCAAGGAAGCTAGAATTTATTTCCTATTACTTTTCCATTAATTTTCCGATCGTTCCTATGGCAGCTATATGATATATTAGTCCGATTTTTTAAATATTTAATTCGAAATTCACAAATATTTAAAAAATAACATCCCCAAAAGTAGAAGGTAATATTTCAAAAAAACACCGAAGCTAGAATTTTTTAAACGTTTTCTTTTCCGATCCTTCCTATGGGAGCTATAAGATATAGTTGTCCGATCCGGTCGGTTCCGACATATATACTACCTGCAATAGAATAAAGACTTTTGGGAAAGTTTCATCCCGATAGCTCAAAAACTGAGAGACTAGTTTGCGTAGAAACAGACAGACGGACAGACGGTCAGACGGACATGGCTAGATCGACTCGTCCAGTGATGCTGATCAAGAATATATATACTTTATGGGGTCGGAAACGTCTCCTTCACTGCGTTGCAAACTTCTGACTGAAATCATAATACCCTCTGCAAGGGTATAAAAACAAGGAAATTTTGCTCCCTTAATTATAGGTTTTTAATAATTTTAAGTGACATTTTGATTAGCGTTAAAATATTGTTCATTATGTTTTATTAGAGGGCGGTTCATTAGTGGTATCTACGGGCTTTGCAGGTTCGTTAGAGGTGCGTTCCACTGTTTTTCGAGGCTCATCAGCGGTCTCCGAAGCTTTTGGTGGTTCTTCGGGCTGGGGAGGTGGAGGAGCTGCAGCTACCACAGGTTCCTGCTGTGGAGGAGCAGGTGGTGGAGGTGCCTCCGCTTCGGCGACAGGCTCTTCAGGAGGCGGTGGTGGTGTTTCTTCAGCCACTGGCTCTGGAGGTTCTTCTGCTGGGGCTACTGGTTTTGGTGCTGAGGCTGCAGCCTCCTCAGATTCCTGCTCAGCTTCCGGATTGGGCGGTGGTATGACATTGAAAGTGGGCGTCATGAAGCACAGATCATTTTTGGCGCTCTCCTTGCCCGGAAAACTGGGCTGGGTGCCGCGGCGACCCAGGGATAATGCGGCACAGGAGTTGGCCGCACTGATGTGATGCTCTGGAGTCAGCTTGGGGAACCGGGCGATGTGATAGGCCAAGCTGCCCAGAAAGGCATCGCCCGCCCCCGAGGAGTCGGCCAGGTGCGGCACATCGGAGGCGGGCACATGGGTGCACATATCGCGGTTCTTCTTGGACATGTAAACCGCTCCCTGGTCGCCCATGGTGATGATCACGCTCTTGGCTCCCTTCTCCACCAGAATTCCGGCTGCCTCTCGGGCCTGTTCAAGCGTTTTGACCTCCTCCATTTCGGTTAGATGGGCGGCTGCCTCCTGGTTGACAACCAAAATAGTGGGTAGAACAATCATGCCCGCGGGAATGTCCTTTCTCAGGGGCGACATGTGCAGTATGGAAACGCCCTTGAACTGGCGCAGCGCACACATGGTGGCATTCATGTCCGCTTCCAGCTGGCAGAGGAGCACCTTGGCCGCCTGGAAGGACTTCTTGGCGCGGCTCACATCCTTGCCCGTAAGAAAGGCATTGGCCCCGGCCACGTTGATCTTGTACTGCTCCCCCTCATCGGACACCGCGATCTCGCTCATGCCCGTGGGATTGTTCTTCACCTGCTCGACGTGCTTCACATCCACCTCGTGCTGCTGCAGGTGGTTCAGGTAATCGTCGCCGGACTCGTCTTTTCCCAGCTTGGCAACCAAGGCCGTGGAGGCCCCCAGCTTGGCAGCTGCCACACACTGATTGGCCGCCTTGCCGCCGAAACAGGTCTCCATGTAGGTTCCGGCCACCAGTTCCCCGGGTTTTGGCAGTGCCGCCACATAACTGGAATATTTATTTCACTAAATATGAATTTTCCCTTCCTATACGAGACTCACGTTATGTATTCGATATTTGCCGACCCAAAAACCACAACATCCAGCGGCTTTCCCATTTAAAATGGGCCTTGTTGGCCCGACAATTTTGAAAAATATTCTATTGAAAATTTTGGACTTGGAAAAATCTACATTTCTGAAGTGTAACGATACGGATTCTTTTGAAAATTGTGTTGAATAATTTGACAGTAATATTTTCTACCCTTTTAAAATATTTATTTAAAATACTGTAATCCAAAAATCAAACTTTTAAAAATCAATTAATTTTCCTGTTTCTGTTTCTCAATTAAAAAATGAATTCCCACCACTTGCAAATAAAGTGATTGCAAATCTCGTCTGGAGGTTTACAACTTTTTCATTGAACTTTCATGGACAACATATTGTTTGGCCATCCCACCGGAAACCCACTCCTCCGCTTCCTAACTTCATTTGCTAATGACCATAAAAAAGAGAGGGAGATAAACAACAAGCAGACCATTTGCTCGCCATCTTTGTCCTATGCGATACCAAGTTGGCTAACAGCATAAAATACAAATACTAATTGTTATTAGCAAACTAATCTAATCTAAAAAGTTGTAAACGTTGTTACTTTTGTTCTGTGGTTGACCAGTCGCACGACTCCAAATTGGAGGAGGGGAGTTTCTGGTTCTGCAGAGGAGCAGTTCGGGATGAGGGCCTTTGAGTGACTGGGAAACGCATTGAACGCTCCACTTTGAGGTCACTTTCAGTTGGTTTTTGTGTGCTGCCGAAAAAGTTTTCCCTTTTTCCCGGCCAATGTTGTTGCTCCTAATGGGGGTTTATTGGGTGCTCTTGATGGTGTACGAAATTGACTTTTGGTTGGCTGTCAATTTGCCCGGGGTCTCGGTTACGGAGCCGATTTGCCGTAAGCAGAAGTTGTCAAGCAGTTGGGCCAATCAATTTCAGCACTTAATTGGCCAAGCCAGTTAGTTGGATGGCGGAGTGATAGCTGTGTATGCGGATGAATAACTTGGAATAATTGGGATTATTTCCATATTTTACAAAGGCAAGCTATAGGATATTACTTTAAAAATATTTTAAAATGGATAGAAACATTTTGTTAAAAGCTTTTAAAAAATAAATACATAAGCTGTATTAAACATTCATACATACATATGAACAAATCACTTTAATAAAGTTTAAAATAAAATTAAAGATACAAATTTATGTTTGTGAAGCTTCAGAATGTTTTGAAAGTAAACTGCAAATTTACACAGTTTGTTAATTAGGATATTTCAAGGTGGTTATGTAATTGCCAAGAATATTTTAATACTACTCAATCATATTTTTTAATATCAATCAAAATATTCATTTAGGTTCCGAAAATTTTCTGAAAAACAATTTCACTTTCAGCATCGCATACTTTTAGGCTAACAATTGAAATAACCATATATCTTGGCGGAGTGACGTGACAAACGTCTCCCCTGTTTTGGTACATTATTAACTCAGGCTATCGCACGGAGTCATCTGAAACGATGCCATTTAGGAAATTACTTCCAATTTACTTTTAAATTTCTTCATTTTCCAATTTCCTGCGTAAGTAATTCCCGCGCTTGCAGCCGCCATCCATCTACCCTTACTCTCGCTTTCTCACCCCCTCAGCCAGTTATGAACTGCCTCCGTGCCCTAGATGAAAACCCTGCGACACTCAGTGAAAAGCCCGTGAAAAGCGGTGCGGCAGCCGCGGGCCATCGAATGACAAAACGAAATTAATCTATTAGAGCCGGAACGAGGACGAGCCAAATTGTCTATGTCAAGGTGATAAATTCAGGCCTGCCTGCAGGTGAACAAGCCAGGATGGCAAAGTCGAGTCGTGGGGAAGAGGCCACCCTAATCCATCGCGATTCCTGTGCCTGCAGCGTAAATCTCTAAACGGCAGGCATTTACGCATCAGCCAATTTCTCGAGTGTGTTAGCATAAATTTGAAAAAAAAAAATAAAATCTAAATATAAAACCAAATAAAGTAAAAAAGAGCGGAGCAGCGACAGGTGTGTTGCCCCCGGAGTCGGCAGGCAATTATTTCCGCCAGGCGCGAATCCATCGGGGAGTCAGGTGAGCGCTCCCCGAGTGCCAGCTCTCGGCTCCCAGCTAACTGTCTTTCTGCTCCTTCTCCGGGATTCTCTGCGAAGTTCTCCTCGCAGGTCTCTCGGGGCTGCGCCTGTGCATTAATAATTCAGTTTCATTTAAATGCGACCAGGCTTAATGAGAAAATCGCCTGCGGTGGGAGCTGCGGCGCGTCAGAAAGTGAGAAGTGGGAGTGTGGGTGTTGGGTGGTCCCAGCACAGCGTAATGTAAATGGGGATTTGGGTCAGGACAGCAGGTGTTTTCCAGCTCCGTCGCCAATGAGCTTGATGATGATGCTGATGACGATGTTGGTATCGCAGCTCAATGCGCGAATCAACAGCTTGAAGCCTCGTCGAGGGGCATAAAATGTCTCCTAACAGTGAGTCTGGGTAATAAATCTATTTTTTACTTTCTTGATTTAGAAATATGATTTTCTTGTAATTTCTGGATTTTGCTATATATATTTTAAAACTATTTTAGCATGTTACAAAATTCTTACAATTTGAATTGATTTCTTTTTGATAATATTAATACAAGGACAGTAAGTAACAGTTATTTGAGACTTTTATTTTAAAAGGCCTGTAGAGATTTTTGCACATTTAAATCAACAATTTTACTTGTTTTTATAAACTCTAAAGACATGGACAAATAAAAGTTTATTTGTTTTTCACATTTGCCTATACTTTGAGGACAATAGTAAAAAGTGTGTTATATTATTTTTAAAACAAAATATCACAGTAGTCTTTTTAAAATAAATGTCTTAAATAACTGTTATTTACGGTCCCTGAAATATTTAATATTTGACGAAGCTTTCTAAAATAAAATAATCACTAAAGAATAAAATCTCAAACTCCAAATTGACACTAACGTAGTTCCCTTTATCCGACTTTTAACGCTTTCGTCACTTTTACAACTCTATTGTTAACCACTGTGCACTGCGGCGATATGGCCATGACGTGGCACTTAATTTATGATGGCAGTTTGTTATGCCGCGCCTGTCACAACAAAAACAAACAGCTCAGAGATAGAGGAAGCAAAAAATGTATATTTACAAGAAGTTGGGGATGGATAAGGCGGCAGGCGGCAGCCTCCCCTGCGTTGGACACAGGCCGTATAAAAATGACCCAACATAAATTTAATAATTCCTGCTTTATTATTTAATGGCCGAGCTCGACAGCAGAGAAAGCCGGATGGATGGTGGTTGAGTTCTGCGAGAAAGATTCTCTAGTTCCCAGCGATTTCTTAATGTGCCCTCAACATTATCGTCTTTGTGATCATCATGAAGATGCTATAATATTCTAATTACAATGTCCTGTCAATAATCATTCGCCATTATCGCTGATGACTTGGGCTATGTGAAAATTGTCGCCTTGATGGCTGCTGCCAATTAATAACATTAATGCAATGGCAATTATCATTAGCTACTTGATGGCCGCTTCGACCTTCCACCGCCCGCCTATCAATCCACTCAATATACCGCCCACCCAGCCCTTTGGCCAATGCACATTGTCACTTATTTTAATTAAATAAGGCTGCGAGGTGGGCCGCCGACGGATTCAACATTCGGTGGGAAATTTTTATAATTTCCGGGCAAAGGAAGCTCACAAATAGAAAATGTGGCGCACGTCCGAGAAATAACCATTTGAAATGTGATAGCCAAAGTTGTCTGGGGGTGGCAGGTGATGTCCTGGGAAGCTATAGGAAATTGAAATGTTCCATAACGGCAAGGTAATATGCAAAGCGATAAGCGATAAAGATGTGGAAGCGAAGAAAGGACAGCATTTCGGCGGGAAAAATGTAAGAGGAAAATGGAATATTTTTAAACATAGGTAGTGTATTTTTAAATGTCAATATTAAAAATAAATTGGAATAGAATTAAGATTTCTTTAATTTAGATTAAATTATAAAATGTTTTTAATATAATTATGAAAAGTAACAGCCCTCAATCAAATTCTTTAACAATAATATAACAATATATATTTATAAAAAACCTCTTCCTTTTTATAGAAATTAATACAATATTTTACTGCAGTCTTTTCAAGACAAAACCTTAGCATACTTTGTAGAGCTCACTGAAAATGGAAGCAGCTATCTGCATTTCCCCCGATTTTCCCTGGAAAATTACCGGCTGCAGCAGCAAATCATTTGAGTGTAATTAGCAGTCATTAGCCAGCAATGATGCAAAAAAACCGGAGGCAAGAATTCGGATTCTGGTTCGAACACGGGGGAAACACTCACCGATTTGGGCCGCTGGTGGGTGGTGGTGCAGCAACGGGTGGTGCGGGGGCAACAACAATGGCCCCACCCTGGTCGCCTAATGAAGTTCTGGAATTAATGCCGGAATTCAGCTGGGTTGACGGTGCTGCTGGTGCTGCCGCTGCTGCTGCTGCGGTTGCTGCGGTGCCTGATGTTGCTGCTGTTGCTGCTGCTGCTGCTGCAGATATTGCTGCGATTGCTGTTGCTGCTGGCAATGCTGCTGGGCTGGAATTTATTTGGTTGTGCAAGAGTGTTTCAAACAATGTTGTCGACATTTTTGCCGCTGTTGCTGCCGCTGCTGCTGCCGTTGTTGTAGATAATGCAGCGATATTACTGTTGTTGCCGCTGGGCCGCAAATAGGGATGGTAACTTTTTGCAGCTCCCGTAAAAGTTGTTGTCGCTGCAATGGCACCTGAAGTTGCTCCCGAGCTCGTTAGATTCTCTAAATAGTCGTACTTGACCGGCAGTATCTGCTGATGTTGCTGTTGCTGTTGCTGCTGGCTATTGTTGCCGCTATTTAAATTGTTATTGCTGTAAAGGCTATGGTTGTTGTTGCTGCTGCTCTCGGCACTCGAATTGCTGTTGTTGCCATTAGCAACATGGGCAACAGGTGCCGTTGTTAGCATTGTTGTTGCTGCAGTTGCTGCCGCGTCGCAAGTTGCCTCTGTTTGTGTTGCTGTTGCTGCTGCTGCCGCTGTTGCTGTTGCCGTTGCTGCTGGATTGCCGCTCAGTTTATCCGCGTGCAGACTCAAGGATTGCAACATCATTTATTACACCTTTGCTTTGCTTTTATTGCCAACTCCTGCAGCTCCTGTCGCTAATTACTTTTAGTGCCGCATTTGGCGTCGCTTGCTTTTTAATTTGCTTCGGGTTTTAGTTTTATTAAAATTGTATATTATTTTGCTGCCGGCAGGAGGCTCCTCTTGCCGTGTTTAGTTTTGTACCCCTTTGTTTATCCTTTCTTTATCACAGTTTTTTTCGCTTTTACAATTAGCCTCTGCGTTTTCTTTATTTTTTAGTTTTTAAAAGAGTTGAGACGGAGTTTCAGCTGTAATTAAATGGAGAACAAAGTGTTAGCTGATTAAAAGACATGTAGTTAGGGTTTTATGTTGTGCTATTGAGTGTGGGAAGCGGTTAAGAGATAAGTGGAAAAGTTTACACTGTCAAAATAAATAATATAATATGTTAAAACTAATTACAAACAATCTTTAGCGATTAAAAATCACAACAAAAGAATAATATTTAATTAAAATCGCTTAGTTTCGGCAATTTCCAATTAGCTACTCAATGTTTTACTATTCTGAAATGAGCAACCCATGCAAATATTTATTAATGTTTTAAGTAGCCACTAGGAAAAACCGCAGTCAAAATGGCTGCCAGATCGTCCGCCTTTCGAACTCAAACCACGCCCACTTTAGCTAATCCCACCGCCCATGGAGCCTAACTGCATAGCTAAGCGCATTTGAATGGAAACCATATTGACTGACAGACTGACCGCAGTACTTGGGCCACTCGACTGTCTGCATTCAAGAGCCCGCTTTGACTCGCACACAGAAGTACACTCCGACATATGGATACACACTAATGCAAGTGCACTGAGGAAAATTAAGTTGTAATTTAAGTTGACAACATCAAAACAAAGGATGCTTGAGGCAACAACCCAAATTGCATTAACTAGAACTCCTAATAAATATTTAAAAAAATGCACCACTTGGAAGCCAGTTCTACATGGTGATATAATATATTATAACGAAGGGAAAAATAATGTTATTGTAAAAAACTTTGTAATTTTGGGCGGTCTTAAAACTAAATTTAAGCTCAAGCCAGTCACAATTTTAAACCTCAAATTTCAAAATTGTAAATACAATAAACCTTTTTCGCGTGTAGATGTTGGCATCTGCCGCTAAACAGATAAGCATTTCGAGTGCTCACATAGTGAAGAGCGAGAGCTCAGTTGGCCGCATAATGTTGAAGGCTCCAGCTAATTAGTTAAATTGAAATCAAATTATTTGTTGTCGCACTTGACTAGCCACAGGCATGGGCGCCTTAATTAACGCGCCAGCACATATACCGATTTCTGTAGACATATGTAGAGTGAATGGTGGGTAGTTCGGGGCAAAAGCACTTACACATGGTGTACGCGCCAGGAAAGCGATTACTACTAGCCTTATTGCTTTACGACCGGAACAGCGCACTAAAGGTGAATTTAAGGCACTTTAAATATCTAGCTAAAATATATTCTTAATTTAAAACGTTTTCTGTTGACGAAAAAAACCTAAGTTAAAGTTAATTCCTTTATAGATTTATTGTACTATTTTGTGTTATTTTTAAAAATATTTTTTATGAACTTGTATTTTTCTAAATTAAAAGGAATGATAGATAAATGTTCTTATTGACGATTTATATTTTTTATAAACATTTAAGTCAATTATAATGCACTACTATTTAATTTAAAACCGTAAAATATTTATGTACCACTGTCGGTTTATCCTGCAATATATTTTTCCTAAATTTAAGGTTCACTTAAGGCGCTCACTTTGAGACTAGCCTCACTTTGGACGAAATTCTCTCGTTCTCCAGATAATCGCCACGAAATTCGCCGGTTTTTCTATTATTTTTTAATAAATTTCAACGTTTGCATATTTTCGCGCTTTTCTATTGACGTTCCCCGCTTATTTATTTTTGCAGCGCGCTCCAGTGCTTTGTTTTATTTTTTGGCTCCGTCCGCTCCTCTTGGCCGGGCTGTGGCAACTGTCGTCGTCGTCATCATCCGCATCCGCATCGTTGTCGTGCCATGAGGCGCTTGCCCCCCCAGCATCCCCGCCACTTTCCCCTCGAGCTGTGGCAAGCGTGTTGGGAAGGCAGTCATCGGTTCGCCAGCGGCGTGCTCCTGCTCTTGCCACGCCCGTCACGCCACGTCTGTTTTTCACCGCCCACCGCCTGGCTCCTGCGGATCCTTGCCACTTGCCACGCGCTTATCCCAGCGCCATCAAACGATGTCGACGACAACAACCTCGACGCCAACGTCGTTAGAGTCAGGGTATGCGAGACATTTAAGGGATATTTCGTTTATATTATCAGGATATTTTAAGGGCCAACTATAGATTTTAACTTACAGAGAATTATGTAAAAAATAGTTTAAAATTTAAAGCTTAATTTAGCAGATTTACCATTTAAGACCATCCCAAACCCAAAAAAACAAAGTACGTTAATTCATCCTCAGTATTTAATTACCTAAACCCATTAAACCCCCGAATATCTTTGTTCCGGTTCTATAAATGAATCATTTTAAATCAAAATTTGCCTTTTCAACAAAATAATATTATTTTTTTTGTAAAAGTATATTAACTCCAATAGAGTATCCACCCTTCGAGCTAAACCTGCACTTGATTACCCCCGGCTGCTGCATTATGAGCAGTTATCGCCGCTGTTGCTTTTCGTACTGCCGATGTAGCTCCTGCAGCCTTAACGCACATAGAGCCAGGGGATATAGATACGGATAAAGGAGGAGATCGGTGGTGGAAGGCAGCCAGCTGTGCCATCCTCATCCTCGCTGCTGCTGTCACCTTGTAATTTTATTTATCTATTGATTATTGAGTATCTCTTTTCTATTTATTTGCCTTTGTTTGCCCACGCAGCGTTGACAGAGAGCTACTACCCCCAAACCCAAAGGCAGGGCCCAACCGCTGGCACCCTTTGGCATTTTTATTAAACCAGATTCCGATCCGACCGTGTGTGGGGGTGTTTGGGTGTGTGTGTGGATACACGTTGGGCCCCAGGCTGTTTTTTAATTAACTTTAGTGACAATATTTTGCCCAGCTGCCTTTGAGCCGGGGGAAACGCACCAAGCAGCAGCACCCACCCACCGGAACCGAGAGATAATCAAACTTTTGCCCATTGTATGCAAAGATGGGCAACGGAGTCTTGGTCCCAGGGACACTATGACCCCGATTCTCGGTGTTTTCTCTGTCAGCGTCTTGCCATTCTGACAGTTGACATTTCGTAAAGATGTCACTTGTCCAGGGTTGCATTGTGAACTGTAGCCATAGTCGGTCCACTGCACTATACTATATGTACGGTGCTACGAACAGCAACACATGTCTCGTTCACACATCCCCATATGTCACATTCCTCTCTCTCTTTTCCCCATTCACTTGTTGAGCGACTTTCCTTATCTTATCTCGGGTTTTATACGTTTGCTTTATTGTGGTTTTGCTTTTTTCCCTGCTTTTTTGGAGACAATATGGTATACATTCATACGCATTTATATCCAAGTAACTGGAGTTTCTGGGAGACCGGGGATGAACAGGTCTTTATCTATAGTTGCAGACAAACTTCAGATAGTGTCTTAGTTTCAGCGCAAGTATGACTAATCCCGAGAAAATGGCAAAGAGACAGGTGAAGATAAGTGCTTATAGTATGTTAAGTGGAGCTGTGTAACACTTTTGAGATTAAGAGCTTAGCCAATGCAATCTGTGGTAGTTTTTGTGTGTATAATAGTTTGCTTAAGAGTTATTTCAGTGCGCAATTTACTTTGTAATAATAATTAAAACGATTTATTTTTTGAGAAAAAAACATACTCACATCTAAGGAAAAATATTAATCAAGTATCCAGATAGAAATAAATTCCATTTAGATTTTTCACACACCTTATGCCACAAGACCCTTATCTAGGGCATATATCAAGTACGTTTATCTATAGATATCGGAGTAAATCAATCAAGTAAATCACTCGAAAGGCACTCGCGAGCTGCACTGATCAAAATCGACCGATCGAAGGAGACGACCGCACGTAGACGCCAACGGAGAACAACTAACGGAGTCAAAATTCCAGTTCCGATTTCATAATTCTCGGCCACCAAAATGTACCGACTCTCGCTCGGAAAAGTGTTATCTGCAGCCTGATAAGAGCTTATCGCTTAATTGCTCGCCGATTGCCGTCAGGTAAATTTCACTTGGCCGTCTCTCACTTTTCAGCGTTTTCTCTGGCCAAACATTTGCTCCGGCCGGAGAGGCAGAGGTGTTCTCCCGCTACCGTCGAGTCGAAATGTTTCGGGGCTTTGTTTGGGTTTCCTATCGCTATCGGATAGTACAGGTTGTCGAGCTCTTTAATTGACTATCTTATCGAGACCGCGGAGTGCATCGACTGGGGAAGGGGAAGTGCCATCCGTCGGACCGGGCTTAATCCAGCAAACACGCGGGGAAACTCCCTATCCAAAACTCATGACGAAACCGAAACCGAAACCGGGTCTGTGTCCTGGGAATTATCATAGAGGACTCTAAACAGCCACTGCAATTACTTTCCAACTCTCGACTTCGCGCTCCATATATCCGCACTATAATGCTCATAAATATAAACTAAACTCATGCGAGTGGCCGCTCTGAATTTATATGTACGGGTATATCCCTCTGCCCGGCTCTGTCCATCAGTCCGTCTGTCTGTCTGCAGGGCCATTACACAAATACGATATACGAAATACGAAATACCAGCGCTGCCAGCGTGGGGAAAACGGAGAAAATGGAGACCAATGAGCTTGCCACGTAGCCATAGCCAAAGCCAAAGCCAAAGTATCGATGAGTTTCGAGTGGGTGACTTGTGGGTCGTGTGACCGGACAGCCGTTCTCATCGACTCTCTCGCCGGTCGGTCTATATACCTCATATATCTATATATCCTATATAGAACCGGTAAATAACCGATACGTGTCGGTAAAGGAAAGCTGGGTTTTGTGGGTTTGTTTGTCATTGTGCCATCAAATTATAATAAGCGACTGTTTAGTGGTAAATGTGTGTCACTTTACATACGGCCTCTGTCTAATTCTATCTCTCTCCCACTCTCTGTTGCTATCCTTTTCCCCTCGCGAAGGATATAATTATGGTATTGGAGGAGGTGGACAATTGGTTTGTACCTGCCTTGGCCAGAATCGAAAATGGAAAAATCGAAAATTCAATTATCTATTCAGGGCTCGAGTTATAATTGGGGTCTATGCTTGGGCTGTCCAATCAAGTCCTGTTAATTTAAGCGGATATTCAGATATAAAACCCATTTAATTAATATTAATCAATTCTTTATTAGCCATAGTTTCTAGGCATTCATTCACAAACTTTTCCTCAGCTAACTATCAGCTGATAAGAATTGCGTGAAGTATTATTAAAGAATTTGACAACAATGTGAAATAGAATTAGAAGTCATACGCCAGATTAGTTAATCATTCTATTAAAGCGAACACCAAGACCCTTGTAAAGATAGCACAGCAATTAATAACCTAAACAGAGTCACCCATTAAGGAAATTATATAAAAAAAGATATACACACTGCATTCAGGCTATATATAATCCCCCACCTCGGCGACTTTAAGCCAAATATAAATTAACGCAGTATACCAAAGTGTTCTGATACCAATCTGCTGCTTATCGGGAGCTAGCGTCTGTACCTAACTGTTTACCGATTTATCTAATCTGAGATTCTTATCTCGAGCAATTACTCCGCACTTCCTCCGATGCCAGGTGCTCCCCTTCACACAGCCCCCCTCCAAATCTGCCCACAACTCACGAGTTGCGACAGACACAGTGGGTCACGTCTGCATTCATCCGCCCACAGGTACAGTGGGTGCGAGTAAATGGCCGCCATAAAAAGTCAGCCATTGAAATCCAAGATATATGCCGGTGTTTCTTTATATGGATAGTTACTTTTGCCCCATTCATTGCCCTCTATTACAGAGAAAGAAAAAGAGTATGAGGAACTAAATTGAATTTTCCTTTAACCGGTTGATAACTTTAAACTAAATGATAAAGTCCCAATTTATTTATTTAAGCAAATAATTTATAAAAGTAAAACATTTTTCTTAATTTTCTTAGAACTATAAATTTAAAAAAAAAATCACAATTTTTTAAAGTGTGCCATGTATGGCAACTAGTAACCCTTTTTGTTCTTGCAATTCGATTTTTTGTGCCCTTATTGCTCGCCCCTTCTGTTTCGGCTGGCCCCGAATAGCGATCAATATTGAATTGAATTTGACCAATGGTTATGGCCACGATTCGGCGGCGACCACGAACAGACTTTTGTCCGTCGGCGGGAAGGCGTGTTGGGTAAGCGGAAAATGTTATTTAATAATTTACAGCGAAGCATTACGGTAACAGAAAAGCATTTCGGAACTAAAGTTGCTGGTGTAGTCGAAATATTAAACGCAACACTTCCCTCGCCCATCAGGCATTCACCATTCACCCTATATACTCGCTGCGAGAACCCTTCAATACCAATAATATTATTAGAAACTCAACTGGAAAATCGAAGTTGAAGAAACCACAGGAATGCGGTTGAAAATGCAACAAAAGCCAAAACACAGTTTAGTGGTTGAATAACGACAACAGCAGAAGCCAGGACATGGCCGTAGTCCGGGTTTGGGGGGTTTCGGACAGCTCGGAGGGGGGTATATAGACCGACAGACCAACCGACCGTCGGACAGACAGTGAACTACTAATAAAGCCAGGTGGACGCAGGTGCTGGAGACCAGGGACGTCGGCCAAGGCAGACAAAAGGAAGCACAAATAATATAAATTAAATGTGGGGAAAGTTGCCCCATGGCCGTCGCCCACTCGAAAGAAAAGCAAGCTGAGTAATTATTTCCGGCAGAGTGGGCAGGCAGGACCTGGAGGAGAGTCCTTGCGGTTTGACTGCAACACATGGCCGGACACTTAAACCGGAGTGTGGCAAACGGGGTTGGAAAATCTATCTGGGCAATAATTTCGGTTGACATGCTTGCGGTAATTATTGACCGTAATGACAAAACCGTATACGAATACGGAAAATGGATAGCCCCAAACCCAAACCCAAAGCAATCCCGAAACCCAGACAAATTGCTTTAGTTTTTGGGGTCATCTGCTAGTGGGTTGTGTCTGTGTGTGTGTGTCTGCTAATTGGATACCGTAATGGACATCAGCTGATTTTGGGATCGGCATAAATTCACTAAAACACACCTCTAAACAAATAAAAATTGTCACCGCCATCGAACTATAAACAAGCGAATCGTGGGCCATAACTTAAATCTATATTTCGTTTTATTTGCACTTGATGCGCAAGATTTATGGACAACTGGCCTATATATATCCGTATTAATGGAGCGGAGCTGTCGAACACAACACAGCCCGAGAGTTTGTCCAAAAACTAATTAATAATTTTCCTATCGCTTATTTTCGGATGGCGCTCTTCGCTATCTATGCTTTTCCTTCTTTTCCACGATCTATTTTCCGATTTCTTGTATGTTTTCGCTAAATTCATTTCAATGCCGGCTATTTTTGTTGCAATGTGGCCCACATGTTGGGCATTCGGGGGGCAATAAATATCGAATGCGACCGGCAGAGTATCCAAAAGACCTGCTCCCAAAAGATCAGCTGGAATTTGCTCAAGTTTTCGGTTTAGCGAAGGGACTTACTTCAATGGCAATTGACTCTAGTTATGTGGGAGAGCTTCCGTAGACTAGAACGATTGCTTTTGTGTGACAAATTGGCCGGGCGATTGTGATGCGATTGTGTTTGCGAAGATCCAAGATCCCAGAAGACACACGACCGATGACGCGGAGGAGACCGTTGATCGCGTGAGTTGAACGACAAATGAATTCACTTGATGGGTGAAGTGCGAGGTCAAACCTCTCTTGGATGCCGCAGAACGAACGCACTCGCAGAAGCACAATTCACAGATAAAGATACAGATACGCACACGATACACGCTGCAGATACAATCAACAAACAATAAGAGAGGCAAATTAACAACACTTAAGTATTTTCTTAGTTTTAGTGAAATTTTAAAGGAACTTCCTTAGTAAATCTTTGTGTAGCCTTTTATTAATAATGTAATTAATATTTTTAGCTTGTTACTCAAGGATCTATTCATATCACGGTATAATTATTACAAAACTTGTTTATCTTTAAGACTGATTTCTTTATAGATCCTAGCTGATTTAATTTAGATTTTTATTTGTAATTATTTCTTATGCACTTTATTAACTTTAACGATTTAAAAACACGATTTTATCTGTGTATCTACCTGTACTATATAATTGAAAAATATTTTATTTTTAAATATTTTTCTTTTATTTGAAAAGCTTTTCTAGTTAAGATAAATTATATTCGTTTTATTTTGTTTTTTATTTTATTTAATATTTTCTTTTTTTATAATACCCAATAAATATTTAATAAAATATTTTCATTTATACATTTTTAAATCTTGTGAACTCTTGAGATCAGTTAGCACTTTAAATGCATTGCATTACACTTTTTGGCTAGAATTTCCTGCACTTTTGAGCTGGCACTGCAAGTGACATGATTTCCAAAAAAACTGCACTGGGCCACAGAAATATTATTTTATATATATTGCACTTTATATCCGTGTGTTTTTCTTTTCGGGCGTGTAAAAGTGAAAATTCGAGTGGGCGGCGACGAACCGGCGACGACGATGCGCGCGATTTTCTCGCGTGGGGCTGGCGGAACGTTCAAGATGGCACTGCCGGGCGATCCGCGCCGATCGACTTGACAGTCCATGTCCATGGAGCCGCCCAGCGGACCCGTCGTTATTTATTCCGGAATATAAATTATAAGTATAAATAATATTTCGAGAAATAAAAATTATGCATGTTGTATTTATTTAGAATTTAATTGAATCTGCCGGCGGCAGTCGGGGGCGTTCGGGGCACCGGTCGTGTTGACCATAATTTAAATCAAAACACAAATTAATTTGTCGCTCCTCTCTCACTGCACTTGCTGCTCTGTTTAATATCTCAAGATTTTGCGGAAAAGTGTCAGCAAGTGTCCACCGGACAGAGAGAAAGAGAGAGAGAGGAGAAAAGCGTGGGCTTCATCGGAAAAACAAAGTGAAAAGCCGCATCTCTCCGGGTCGCAGTCTCTGCGATCTCCGATCGATTTGCAGCTTTTACGAGCTGTCCGAGCAGAACTAAACATAACCATAATGGAACGAACATCTGTTTGTCTTTTATTTACGATGCTTCCTAATTTCTCTCAATGGTCCAACAATGCCCGATCGCTGCTTCCCCATAGGTGAGTTTCCTTCTATTATTTTTATTTTCCCGTGACATGTTGGCAGGCGGATTAGTTTGGCCGTTAGTTTGACAGGCTCTATAAGTAGACACTCAAGTGGGTGGCATTCTAATTTGGCTGCGCTGCTCGAACAATTTGAATATTGCTCGGGGGATTAATGGGTGTGGATATGACCCATTTGGGTTGCACTCTATAAATTAAACTACCACAGATCGTTGGTATTTTTTTCATGGAGAGTGCCAATACTTTTATCTCGAAATAAATGTGGTTGCGGGCCAAAAAAAATTATTTACAAATCATTGTGTTTTCCTCGGATTTGAAAATTTTCCCATGCAGCTCTAAGAGGAAATTCCCCATGCTATTCATCGATCATTCATCTCACAACATTGTCAAGTTCATTCCTTGTTCCCATTCCCATAAATCAGAACAAAAGATATTATTTTATCCCGCAGACAGTGGCATTGTTAGGGGTCCGAGAAAGGCTAATATAAAAAAAAATCGCCAATTACTCAAAGGCACTCACTTGGCTTTTAATGTCAATGGTTGCGAGTTCCATAAACTGCTTGGTATTGCTTAAATTATAGCCACAGATTATCATTTTGTAACGTGTTTAACTTCAGTTATTTTATCGAGCTATTTGTAATGTTTAAGTTTTATATATTTTTTAACCCCCCCTTCTTATGAGTTTTCTATGGCTTTAATTTTTCCGAAGTTTTAAAATCATTGCGAAGAAGATTTTCAAATTAAGAACGATTATTTACAAAACAACATATACAGGGTATGCAAATCTGCAAAGCAGCAAGCATAATTGTGCACGTGTTTTGAATAAGTGGAAACTTTCCTTTGGGGAAACTTTCTTAGCCACCACTAAAACCACCACCACTTTTACCCCTTGGATAGTTTTTTGGGCGTTTAAAAATGCGCGACCGCATTCATTAGAGCAAATGGCTTAAATACTTGGCCAGTCGAAGCTGAACTGATGAATGGCAGCTTAAGATTCGGGATCCAGAACTTCCACTCCCGCAACTTCAGCTGCTAGCCCACGGCATTTGTTGGTTTGTTTGACTTTGGGCTCTGGGGTCCCGGATTAAGTTTGCTGCCCGGGTAAAGTTTCGTTTTCCTTCGCAAACCCACCCCAATGGATTCGTGTTATCGCCCCGGCTGCATACTTTTGCCGCTCAGTGTCGAGCAGCTGCGAGTGCATTTGCCATTGCATACTTTCGGGCATCTCGGAAAATATTTGCCTGCCGCTATTGGAATTTGCAAATATTCTTATAAATTATTATATCAAAGTTCGGCATTACTTATGGCTGGCTGGCTTCGACAGAAAACTTTGCCTTACTCTACACACTTTTCCTCTATTTTGGCCCACTCTCTCTTACTTGACACTTTAGTGTAATTAGTTCTCGTGCGGTTGCAGCTTTGCGGGAAAATCTCTTTGGCTTCGGGAGGGGCGGAAAACTGCACTGGTTTGGGTTTTCCATGTTTTTGTGGCTTTTTCATGCCCTTTGATGTGGCAAAAATTTCAATTAATGCAATGCAAAATACTTTCAAACTCTCCTGCTCTACTTATTATCCATGGATTATGAAAATCGCTCATGTGCCGCGAGCAAAGGTTGCCTAAGATCCTGAACTAATGTACTTGTTAATGCTTGATTAAGCAGCCTTGGGTTGAGTCTATAAAATATTGAACTTTTGTGGTGTTTAATAGGATTACTAGTATATGCCTCTGTGCAAAGAAAATTTGGCTACTTTATGTGATATGATGTTTATTAATAACTTAAGGCAAATGTATATTTTTTTTTTGCATTTGCAATTGCATATTTGACCTATTTATTAAAAGTTTAATAAAGTAATCTATGTGAATTAATGCTTAATTGCTAGTAAATACTTATAATTTGTAAGTTTGTGTCCCATCCCAAATTGCTAAGACAAAAAGTCAAGCAATTCGCAACAGAAAACTTTAGTTTTTGTAAAGCTTTAAAGAAATTACACTTGACACTTTTCAATTAGTGAGGAAAGTTTATTTTAATTGTAACAGTAACACGTTGTTGCCATCGCTACCCAGCCCAAAAAAGCAAGAACAACACGGGCAAGTTTGTCAGGACAGTACAAAAGCCAGGCAAACTGAGGCCGAAGTCAAGGAGCGCCCTGGGAGCCACAAAATGTCAAAAGAAAACTTTTCTGCCCAAGATTAATTACAATTGAAAACAAATGAATGCAAAAACGATAAGCAGCCGAAAGGATTTCCACAGCAAGCCAGCGGGCGCGGGTTGCGGGGAAGGCCAAATGGAAATGAAAACCCAAAACTCAACTTTGCCAATCAAGATAGAAGAGGGGGTGCGGCGGCTGAAAGAGCTCTAATCAGAGGAATGGTGTTGAAATAAATGTTCACACCTACAATAGAAGCCTGAAATGCAAGAGCATTAGCTGCACACTTAAAGAAATTGTTTTAAAAGAAAAAATCCAAGAATTTGTGGGGGGTAAAAAATGGAAAAACTTTTAAGAAAGATAAAAATAAATTACCCATTGTAAAGAATCATTGGAAAACATTATTTAAAATGCCTAAAGATGGTTATAATATAAATTAATTTTAAAAAATATGTAAAGATTTATTTGACACCCTTTATTTATCATTTTATACCCGTAAAAGATTTTTAATATTTATTAAACTAAGAATATAATTGAGAATTAAACAATTGTTTATTTTCCTAGATTTTTGGAAATTAATATAATAAGTTTCACCTTCAAGGCCCTACTTTCTCAAAGTGCTGGTAACAACTGTTGGCTAGTCCAGTTTTTCGGGGACTCTAACTTCTGACCGATAGAGGTGGCAAAGTTTTGGAGAGGTTCTCCAGATGGGGGAACATTGTGCTGGTCGGCGACGTGACCTGTTTAGTTCTAGCAAGGAGTTGCTCTATTTCGGTTTAGTTTTAAGTTTTTTATTGGGTGTGGGGCTTTTGTTTGTTGGTCGAGTGCCAGCGGTCAATGGGGCAGCATTAGCACCACTTAACCCGCAGTGCAGTGTCTTGCCTGTGAAAAACTGCCTTGGCAAACTTTTCGTGCATAAATCATGAAATTAATTAATTTTGACACACATTCCCCTCAGTCGCTCTCTTAAAAAGTAGCGCCATAAGCAACTTTGCCATCAAAGTATTTTATTCTTTTTCCCTGCAGCCGCTCCTCTTTGCCAGAAATTAAAAGTAGAATTGAGAAGTGAAACATCAACACCAACAACAACTAAACGGGGAAAACTTGCCTTGCCACGCAAACTTTTCCAACGTGCAGCGGGAAGTGGAAAAAAGGGGGAAAAGAATCAAGTTTGAAATATGTGCAAAATTCATTCAGTATTTGAAATATTCCAAACTTGCTATAAGTTTCGTATGTTTCGCCTTTTTTCACTTCTTCTATTTTTTGCAGTTTTTTTGTGCTGCCAAAAATAAAACTTGCGCCGTGAGTTTAATTTTATTCATGCTGCTAAGTGAGTGTTGAGTGAGTTTTCTGGAAAAAAAGTAGTGGAAAAAGAGGGAAGGCTGTAGTTTGAGCGACAGAGCTCAGGCAAAGTTTGCGCCCAAAATGTTTCACTATTTAATTGCATAATTTGAGAGCGCACTGAGATTACACCTTCATGAAAAATATACTTTTTTTTGCAAGAGAAATGGGTGCGAAAAGTGTGTGGACACATATCAGTTAGATATGTAACACATATTTTATTTTTACTGAAAGTAAACTTCGTCACCACGTAAAGTTCCGCTTTGCAATGCACTACTAACAAGATTATTCCTAGATTATGCCTTAACAAATTGATTGGGTATATAAATATTTTAGAATGTAGATACCAAACTGACATCAAATATCCATTAAACTAAAAACTCTTTCAAGCAAGATGAAGTTATTTGCCTTGATGCTTGTGGCTTTTACTGCGTACAGTGAGTTTAGAAGTAATTTTTCGGCAAATCAAGCATGATTTTGGTTTTTGATAGATATCGTCATGGCCGTATTGCCCAAACCTGAGACTAACAGAGACCAAAGAATGGCCATAACAGTGCTTGATAGGGAAGTCCCCGATGATACGATAATCGAGGCCTTCCGGAGGAAGTTGTACGATAAAATTGAATCGGTTAAATGGAAGTCACAGATTAAACTGTGGGCTGACCTTGGCATTGATGCCCTCAGCCATCCCATATCGAAACTCAACGAGATGGTCAACTCGGTGGGCCATCATCCAACCTACGAGCTTTGGTTGGCTCAGCTGCGCAAGAAGATTTGGGAGAAGGGTCAAAGCTATGTAGTGGTGGTGTTCCGCAAAGTAAACACGGTTTTCACTGTCCTTCACAGACATCTGAAGAAGAAAATCGACAATATTCTTGTAAGTAGTTCGCATATAGCTAGGGGTTATTGAATGGGTTTCTATTTCTTTACAGAAAAATAAGGCCAAGGATTATGGCGTTAAAAACGAAGGCTCTGGTTATATCGATAACGATGACTACATTCGGGAATAACGTACTTTGTTTAAAACATTTAAAAATTATTATATTAAAATGAATACATATTTAAACTTTAAACACACAAAATAAACAAATGGCATTGCAAGCTTAATATTTATTATCTTAAAATGTAAAAGTTAAATAAAGTTCAAGTTCAGTAAAGATCAAAAACAAAGTTCCACAGGTCTTGGTCAGCGGCCTTATCCTCCTTCCCCAAATCGTCGAGCTTCTTCTTGAGTTTTCTTAACTGCTTTTCATCGCTAAAGATAGCGTTGAATACGCGTGTGGTGAAGTTATCGTAGATACCGAGTCTTCGGAGGAGCTGCAGGACTTTCTTATCGAAGTCATTGTTTGTTATTGTGACGCCCTGCCGAAGGGCATTACTTTCGTTGGATAGAGTTCCATTCAAAACCGATTGAGTGCCAGTTGAACCGACATCCCGCCGAGGAAGATTGAAAACATTAAGTGCCTCAATTTTTTGGGCCAGTTGCGATAGGGGTAGCTCGACTGCCTGCTGAAGTTGCAGGAGAGTCATAGAGCAGTCTCCGCGCCTGGCTTGTTGAAGACTCTCTTTTAAACGTGACGTGACGACATCGTTAAGTTTTCTTAGTGGCTCCCAGGAAACACTCTCTTGGCTTTGGATCCCTTGAGACAGGAGAAGAATCGCAGCTAAGACTAAAACTTCCATGGCTTCTTTGAGACAACTGCTTGGATTTTCTACGGATCGGCGGCTTTATAAAGCACATTGGTACTGCCGATAGTCATGAGTTATGTTAAGGTGGCAGGCAGTAAAATATGAAATTAGACTTTTATTGACAAGGTCGGAACTAATATAGTTATGGAGGTCACTGCTTAATGAGTTGCGTTAGTTCAAAGCAGATTTACGATCCTATTCAGAGATATATTTTAAAAGTAATAGAACCAAGTACAAGTAAAACTGTTTTGCATATAGCAGTAGATGACATCGTTTCAAAATTTACATTTCAAAATAAAACCTTAAAAAATCAATAATTTTACTCAAAGAAAATTTTTTTAAATGGTTTCTATTCTTGAATGTAATGGTTTTTTTTGACGTTGAATCGAAAAGGTATTCTTTTTAATCCATTAACTTTAAGATCTTGTTTTGGAATGAAAAGTATTATATATGAAATGTATTTAAATTAAATAAAAATATAGAGTTAAGTGTTTTTAATCTTTTAATTGTATTCTAAAATTATCTAATTTTGGTGAAAAAGCATGCATAATTTCTTTAACAATGTTTCAATGCTTGCAATGGTTCCTTCTCAGGCAATTAAGCAAATGCAGCGAATGTCTTTTACTGCTGGGGAATTGAAAAGGCAAACACAGGGAGGGGGTAGTGCCGATGGGGGATGCGAATAAAATGCAAAAACATTAACCCCGGCAGAGAACTCGGCTCAGAACAGACCAAACTTCGAATGCAAAGAAAAGCGGCAACTGTGACAATGTAAACAACAGCGGAAAGAACTGGTAACTGGGTGGATGGGAAGGGGTGGCTGGGGGTGTAGGGTGCTCCTGGGTGGTGGTAAAAAGTGCATACAAAATTGCCAAGCATAGGGGAACAAAAGAAACAAAAACGACGCCGTCAGCTGCAACGCAAAACTGCAGCTAACCGAAAATGGTAATGGCCTTCCATGGGCGGCGAGAAGGGGAGTTGAGTGGGTGGCAGAGGGGGAGTTCGTTTCAATGTTTCAGCTTAATGCGAAAATCTTGTTGCACACCGCCTGCAGCAAACGATTCGGCCTCCAGACCATGGCGAAAAGTCTATTGTTTCACAATCATAATTCTCCTGTAAGCTGTCGGTTGAAGGGTTTTGCTGGGCGTGGAAATGGCGATTGAGGGTGGGTAATGGGGATGGGGGGTCCTTTTCCTGGCTGCAGGAAATGAACATCATTAATTTTGCCATTCTGCATTTGCATTGGAAATGGCATTTCAATATTCGCTTCGCTTTCAAGATTGCCAAAACCATTTTCCGCGCAGCCAAATAATCTTCATTCAAGCTCCAAGTGCCCCGTCCCGCTCACTCCGAATATCGCCCATCCCGCTCACTCTCTCTGTCGGCGGCTTGGAAAAACTTTCAACTGCTGTGCGCGATTGCCGCGACGTGACTTAATTTCCACCACCGGCAGGCATACGGCTAAATATTTGTTCTATTCGAAGGGGCAGGGGATTTCGGGCAGGGGTTAGTTAGACTCTTACACTGCGAGGAAAAAGATTGTGGGCTTATCAGACCACCAACAAATTGATTATCATAATCGATAAAGCTGAGATATCATACAACTAACAGCTCAAACATTTTTAAGTAATCTAAAATTTAATTTGTTTTTTATTTGTTATTCAATAAGTTAAATAAAAATCGTTGTTAGTAAAAACGTTTTTTATAATTTTTTTTAAAATTTTATTTTTAGTATTTCTTATGGAGCTCGTTTACAAAAAAAATATTTAAATGTTATATATTATATATTTTTATATTTATGCTCTAAAACTTATTTAATATTTTTGTTTAATAATTTAAACTAAAATAAAGTTAAAGAAACCTTACTTAATAAATTGGATGATTTATCCAATTAATTTTGTTCAGGTTGCTTATTTATTGGGACTTTAACTAAAGCAATTAAAACAATTTCGCAACTATTTATTTCTGCCCGTGTATGTTTCACTTTGAGCATTTATCAATATATGGACATGTCCTGATAACTCTGTCGATGGGAATTGCGGCACGTAGCGCTCGACACTCAAGTGTCCAAGTGTTGAAAAAGCCGTGCATAAAAACTAACACGTACGCACCGATCCGAGCCGAACTAAACCTTGGCTACTGGGGGGCTAAGCCAGTCCAGTCCATAACGGATATATAGTATATATATATATATAGTGGGTCCGGCAGTGGGCTCGAGAGCGAAAATCAAAGCTAAGCACTTTCAATTGGATTTATGCGTTTGCGATGTGCCCAAAGATGCGAATCGGAATCGGAATCGCGTGCCCAGCTGGCTAATGTCTCAATTTCCCCGACTATAACCCCCTCACCCTGCAAGGGACTTTCTTATTAATCAGCACAAAAAGTTTTCCGCACCAACTTGCAATTCTGCCGATAAGCAAATAGCCCAAAAAACTGTTTACACAACGCATACATGGCCAATTATCCCAGTACTCATGTGTGCGTGCCAGTATTTGTCTTTGAGTGCCTTTGGTTATTAAGTTTTATGATCAGTTTGTGTATTGCGTTGAAACGATTTATTTAGCTAAGCGGAATTAATTGGAATTTTACGTGTTGATTTCCCCTACACTTACACTTAAACTTACACGAGTGGAAATGAGTTGGGGCCGGGAAAATCCCCTTGAGGCCAGCCAGGAAAAGCTTCGGTGCGCTTAGTTTGCCTAATCGATTATAAACTGAAGTGAGTGGAGAAAATGTAAACATTTCACAAATTCTCCTTTTACACAGTTTCGTTTATTGAAGTTTATAATTAGAGGCTGAGAAGACTTACATTTATTTCAAGGGTATGAGATAGGTTGTTCAAAGTGTTAAAAACGTTTTAAAAATCCCCACAAAATCACATCAATTAAATTAAATGTAATATAACATTGTTATGTTTATATTGAAACATATGTAAGATATAAGAGTGAGATGCTTTAATCCTATTTACATCTATATTTACAGAAGCTACCAAGTATTAGTTAAATTCTAAGCTGCTCTTAAGCCAAAAAAGCTGTAAGATCTTGTTAGTTTATATATTTTATTGTCATTGTTTTTTTTTGTAAAACGTGTATATAATAATTCAAAACTTCCTTTTACAGCAAAAATGACCATTTTCATCAAGCCGATAGACTTCTGAAGCAATGCTTTTCCATGCAGCTTCCTTGGTAACACAAATATAAGACCACCCGTCTCCGTTCACTTCAAAGGAGTGTTTGGTCCTTCGCCACTTTGGGCGGGAAACCGCAGTTAATGCCGGCAACAAAAGCGACCCAAAAACCAAATCGCTTAGCAAACAATGGCGGAGGTCCTCCATCCCCATCCCGTCTATCCAAAAAATACCCCTTACGACCACACATTATATGCGATCCAGCAGCTGGGCAGTCCGAAATGCTTTATGCGATTATTTGCTGAAATGTTGCGAAAGCGGGTTTCGTTATTTATTTGCCTGGGGGCCCGGCAGTTTCTTTCTCTATTTCGGTGAAAGTTGGGCGGGCATTAACAAACATTCCTGTGGCCGGCAGCAAAAAATTGTGGCATATTTCATGTTTGCTCCAGGAGCTTTTCTTGGGACGACGGATCAAAATCGCTCAAGTGTTAAAATTTCCAGGCTGGAGATTTGCATGACAGGAGAGGAAGGAGTATACCATATATACCTTTATTGAAAACATAATACGCCTTTCGCATACACGGTTTCCATTTCATTGCTTTCGCTTGCCTCTCGATGCCATTCGCTTCGATTCGATTCCATCCTATTCGATTCCATTCTGTTTTGGGTATTTTTTCGGATGGCGCGTGACAAAACTCAACTTATGCCGGCTTTGAAATTTACTTTGCCCGGCTAATCCCGGGGATGTACGAGTCCTCGGAGAGCTGTCGGTGGAGTGGGGCGGCAGGGCCAAAGGAGTGGATCCTAAGCCGGCTGGCCAGTGCGTTTTTTTCCCGCTCCTCCCGTTCGAGTGGCTGTCACAAACGCTTCTGGCCAAAAGCCATCGCAAATGGCCGGAGCAGGGGGTCAACGACGGGAGTCGGCCATGTCAATGGCCATGAAATGACAGGAGCACCAGGAAGGGCAGATTACGATGGGGTTCAATCAGAAATGGAGGCCCAGGACACGGGACACAGGTCACTCAGTCACTCAGGGGGCACACATTAAAGCCCATAGCAGCAATCTCACGGGAATATTAAGATTTCAGATTTAAGTTACTGGTAAAAAACTAAAAAAATTAACTGAAAATTAAGTACAACGATTGTTAGGGTGAAGAAGAAAACAGGTAATTTTTAATAAATAACTAAAACAAGAAAGGAAGCTACCTTCGGCTAGCCGAAGCTTATATACCCTTGTAGATAAAAGAATACTCACTCGGTGCAGTTCCAGGGATTCCAGATTCAGCGTTTCGATTTATTTCAATTTTGTTTTTAAGTAGTCAAAAATCAAAACGCCTACTTCCTACAAAGTTACAATGAATTTTCTTATATTTGTTTGGGAGCCTTAAGATATAGTGGTCCGATCCGGCTGGCTCCGACATATGTACTACCTGCAATAGAAAGAAGACCTTCGGGAAAGTTTCATCGCGATAGCTTTAAAACTGAGAGACTAGTTCGCATAGAAACGGACAGACGGACAGACGGACAGACGGACAGACGGACAGACGGACAGACGGACAGACGGACATGGCTAGATAGACTCGGCTATTGGTGCTGATCAAGAATATATATACTTTATGTGGTCGGAAACGTCTCCTTCACTGCGTTGCAAACATCTGACTGAAATTATAATACCCTCTACAAGGGTATAAATATATACATAATAATAATTAACATTCTAGATCGTATCTTTGCAGCCTATAAAAATAAATTTAAATATTAATTTCCAGCGAATTTTATATAAATATTTTAAAGGTTTTATTCTAGCACTCACGCACCTTTACCTTCAGGCAGCTTTTCTTATAGCTTTACCAATACAACCCTTTACC